TTTGAATGTTGTTCAGGATCATGAGCTTGACAACATGTGTCAAGGCCATGATCATAGGAGATTATTTCTCTTATTTTCATTTTTGAAAATTATTTTTATTTTTTGAAAAAGGAAAAACATTCTTCAATAATCATAACTTTGACATATGTTGTCAAGCTCATGATCCTGAATAACATTCAAAAGGTTTCAACCATTGTTCGGACACCTTAGATAATGCTAATGCCGGTGGTACTGTAACTTTCAAGCATTTATTTTTATATAAGCTTTTAATTTTATCTATGTGTTTTGGAAAACTCTCGAAATAAGCTACAAGAATATACAATGAAACATAGGGGGTTCCATTGAAAAAATTCAAAGTAACCTTGTCCTGACCTTACCGACGCCACTCAAAGTCAAACCAATGTTATCATCTTATGTCCCCCTCAAAGCCATACATCTTTTATCTGAAACATTTTTTTCTAAGATCAAAAATAAAAAAGTTATTTGGGGTGGAACATTAAAATGGGACACCCTGTATATATTTCAATAAAAATATCTTGAACCGTTCAAAAATTATTTAGGTGGTTCGAAACTTTTGGCGGTCTCTGTATATGAATATAAATTTGTGCAACATAGTATTAGAAGCATGTTTAAAGGTAATTGATAATTGATTATTGTCACCAGCAATTGACAATTGTATTGAAAGTCATAAATATTGAGTGTTAACAAAAAAATTAAACGGTAGTTTTGTTATTAATATTCATAAACACTTATCTACTTGCAGATAATACTAAATGTTTTTATTAACAGATTTTAAAAACAGTTACCGAAAAATGGCATCTCCATTGCGTTTAAAGTTATCGAGGATAAATTACTCGTTAATATCGGAAGTACTACGGAGGAATATCCATGAGTGGCTCCTTCATTAATTAAAGCTAAGTTGCAAACAATAGCGTAAAGAAACTGCGACAGATTATATACATAGAAATTAGATATTAAGTGTCTATGTATAATATTACTACACCTTTTATTTTTATTGTATTAAAATAAACAATATTCTATTTCTTATTTAAGATTTTAAAAGTCTAAATACAACATTTTACAAATTCTTATAGATGATTTATAAAAATTTGATAATAAATCATAATAATTATACATTACCTTTTTGTTATTAAATATATTTAAATAATTAATTTGATTACATACCAAACGAAGTACTTCTTTTTGCACATTTATAATTCGTTGACACATATTTGTATTAGTTATATTATCGCTACCTCTCGAAAATATGGTAGAAAATTTTTTTATCATCAAAATATTTTTATCATCAATCAGAAATACTACATTGTCATTACTATTTGGAATTTAAACACTGTCTAATGATTTATTAAATTATAATTCATGATGACAGCTCAGTTTAAACGAAGTAAAGTTCGAAATTGCATTTATATCAAGTTCAAAATCATCACTAACACAAATTTAATCCAATTATTCCGAAACATTGATACAATTATTTACTATAACAATTTACACTTAAAATATGAAAATTTTATAAGTAATAACTAACGTATCTATTTTATTATACAACTGTCAGCATTGCAGATTATCTAATTAAAAAATTTCTTGAAAAGAGGGATTTTATTTTCGAGGCTTGTTTCTTTGGTAGCAATAGCTGAACTGAGTCACTCTTTCACGCGTACATTTTACGTACGCGGTTATATAACAAATTATTTTAAGTAAATAACTTTAAAGACCCCTATTGCGATATGCACAATACTCATATTATTGCCATATACGTATATTGTAAGAAGTTAAGTTATGCAATCAACTTTTTGCAAGGTCGATAAATGCATTACGGATAATTATGCAATATTGCAAAAAACCTATTGTGCTCAAAAATAATTTGTGGTGGGGTTCCAAAATGCTATATAAACTTATTGTTAGTAAAGAAAGAAAGTATGAAACCTGTACGCAATTGAAGACCAAATCAAATTTTTACTGAATAACATAATAACAGTTTAAAACGAATTATAAAAACTATGCCTTCATCACATCTGACGATCTTGGACAATCGCCTATATTTATAAAAAAATTTAATTTTAAGATAAAAAAATTGTTTTATTTTTTATTTTCATTTTTTAGATACTTAAAGATACTTCAGTTTTAAATAAGTGTATAGAACGCTAAAAAGTGTTTAGTCTTGAAAAATATAAAATGCATATGAAACAAAAGATATATTCCCGTTTTAAGTAAACCTGTTAAGAATAATTATAGTTTTTTAACTTAAAAAATTAGTTTTTTATTTCTATATTACCTATATTCACACGGAATAGTTCGAAATATATAGAATTATTTAATCATATAAGAATAGAATTCATAAGTTAAATAATAATTTCTCATCAGGAATTTTTCTACCGCAAAATAATCTACTTCAAAAAATCGTATATACTGTATATTATACCTAGCTGTTGTATGTATATGAAGTATACATATTATGTATGTGTATTATAATAAAAAAACTTTTTATGTAATTTTATTTATGTATCTTATTATACATATATTATAAATAATATATACCATGTCTTGAAGGTGAAAACTTTTGTTAAATATATTTTATTATAACAATGTGAGTATATCAAAACACTTTAAAGTTATAAGTATAATACCTTACGTTTTACAATTCAGAATATTTCATATCCATAAATAATTAATATATCGTTTATGATAAGAAATATTTTATTTTTTGACGTGCGATGGAAGTAAACGTTTACACAATTAAACATTTTTTGATGTTAAGAAAAATATTAATACTTTTAGGCGTTTCAAATTATTAAAACACCATATTGTTTAAAAGAGTAGAATGTAAAAAATAGCCTGTTAAAACAGTTGCAAGTCAAAACAGATATCAATCGACAGATTTTGACGAATCAAATGTCATCAGATGCAAAGCATTTTTCTTTTGCAGAATATGAAACAGAATATTAAAATTATATTATATATCGTTACAAGTATACTTTCTCAGCAAGGATTTTTAGTACAAAGAAAAAAATATTCTTGATATATTTAAAGGGATACTGAAAGGTCGGCCAAATTTGCATGAGATCAATAAAACAGTCTGTTAATTTTAGTGGTATCTCTAAATGAACTTCTTATACAATATTTTTTGTCTCACTTAAACACGCACATTGTCCTTATTCAACTTATTGAAGCGCCATCTCTTGCAAAATCCGGCACGTACTGCTAAACGCAATTTTTGCTGTCTTTACCTTTTGTATTTTAGCTAAGCGTATGAATTACCATAAATTGCAGTCAGTAATGATATCTTTTTTTCTACGCTTTCAGTTGTAGCTTAAAAGGTTATGTATTATTCGTTCACGTACTTCGATGCGCGCGAGCTACTCATTTTGTATATATGAGTTACAGAACTTTTATACTAATGAAATGTTTACGTCAGGTGGTAGCCGTGTATGACCCAAAAAATATAACTTTTTAATTTTTTTTTCGTTTTTACTAGAAATTCATAATTTGCTTGCTTACATTTTATGTCTATTTCAATCCTATAAAAGTGTTTTCAATTCCGTTCAGTCATTTCGAAGTTATCGTTACGACTACAATGTGTCGGTAATTCTGACCTTTCAGCATCCCGGAGGAAGTGAATCATTTCACTCTTTTTGAGAGAATAAAATTATTTTATTCTCCGCATTGGATTGAAAATTTACTCTCGCTTAGAATAATTTTTCACTCCTTAAGAATGAAAAATTTGCTCCAAGAACGATTGCTTCACTCCCTTTTTAAAGTGAATATTCGCTCCTGCCGGACTGGCGAAACTTTCATGATCGCTAGGAGTGACATTTCACTCCCAAAAATTTAGAATGTAGCAATTCCAACTTTGACGATAACAAGGAATTTCGATATCACTTTGACTCGATTGGTCGCGAGCATTTGTCGCTCATTTGTGATCCTCTTTCAATTGTAACGAAACGATGTGGTAAAAGAGAAAATCACTTTCGAGATGTGCGGATAAAGATGTTATCGAAAAATCCAAGAGCTGCAGATGTCATGATGAATCGCGAAGGTGGACAACGATGGCGGTAACCGAGTTGGCGTGATGCGAGTTCGAATTATGTTCCAATGACGAGACGACGCCGCCGACCTCATCTCAGATGGTTTAATCGTGGGTACACCCAATTACATTGTCGGTAGACTCATTGTTAATTACAATGTCCATCGCCGTCGTGTTTTGGCGGCAGCGGTACTCGTACGCGGACGTCGACAGATTGTCCCTAACGCGCACGCACTTGTAGCTTTCATCCGGGCATTTACATCTGCGCAAATCAAGTCAAGAAATCTATCAGGAACGAACGACGAAATAAACAATTAAATAAATAAACAAGTAAAAAAACGATACATGTTCATTGCATGTTTGGAAAATGTCAATGTGACTCAATCAAGACTTTCCTTCATAGGGGAAGCCCGGGCAAAGCGAATATTTTATATTTTCATTTATCTATATTAGATAGCACTGAGTCTCTAGCAGTTGAAGGAACGTCCGGCCGGTAACGCTACGAAAGTGCGAAATAACATACGATTGCGCTTACGAGTGTTTGATGAAAAAATTGAGAGTTTTCTTACGATTTTTGCTAAGATATATAGCTTGATTATTAGTAGTAATTGTTCCTTAATCAGTGTAAATGATTTTTTATAAAAATTCTATTTTTAAAAGTGTATTCGAGATTAAAATTTTTCATTTGTTACAAAATTTATTCTGACTATTCGAAATTCGTGCCAAATAGATTATTTGAACAAAGCGGATAATTCCTCTTTTCTCTTATCTTCTTTAAAAAAAGGTTGAAATGTTTGAATTTTTTAGTTCTATTTTATTACATTTGAAAGTTAATTATATATTTAGATAATTATCAGAGTAAAAGATTTCTGATCTTAATTTTAACTATGTTATTTTTTTTCCCAAACCTTAACATAGTCGCTTTGCCTGAGTCTCTATACGTGATATTTTCATACATCCCGATTGCTAGAGGCGTGTTCATCTTCTATCTATATTTTAATATTTTTTTTACGTAAAAAATTTTTACTTTTACATATGACGTGAAAGTAAATTAAATGCGAAATTAATAGCAATTATTCTTTTCTCTAATTTATTAATCGCTTTATTATTTATATGTGTTCTCAAGGCAGAATACCGAATCCTTTAACATTACCATAATATTAATTAATAAATATAGTAACGTAGTAGTAATAGTAGTAGTCATAGATCACTCACGTATTTTTCATGAAATAATCGATGTAACGCGTAGTGTTATTCGTAGCTGGACAATAGACTGCCCATCCACAAATTTCTTCTATATAACAAATTCGTATCGACGCGTTTTTCTTATTGCTATCTTCCGTAGCTTGTGGAATCGTTACGTTTGTAAAGTCTTCCAGCAATACCCGTTGTAACTGCTTCTGTAATTAAACATACCAAACTATTGTAATTAGAAACGTATTTGCCTTAGGGATAATTTAAATAGTAGAGTAATTTGGATAATAGTAAGCATTTGCAAGAATTTCATGTAAATAAGAAATTTTAAGATACATTTCATTATATCAATAATATAATGAAATGTATTTTAAAATTTCTTTTAATCACAACCTTTTAACGGCGGGAGTGGTCGATATATCGACCACCCGGGCGACACATAATATTTTATGTTTTTTCAAGGAAAATGTTATGCGTTAAATATGGGAAAAATAGCATAAAAATTCCTGGAAGCATCCTTGACCTTGAAAATCGCTATTTCTTTTATAAACAAAAATTTAACCTTGAAATGGCGATTTTCAAGATCAAGGATACCACCAGGATTTTTGTCACTATTTTTCCCGTATTGAGCGCATCTAATTACGTAGGAAAATACTCTCAAACCTTCGCGCTAAATTTTTTACATTGGACTTTATCTTTGCGAGCGGAGTTGGTCGATATATCGACCAGCAATCAGGTTGGGGACTCCATATAAGAAATTCATTGAATTTATTTATAAATTTCACGTCTAATAAGAAGTCGATTTTGACTCATATTTCCCCGCCGTTAAAAGATTAAGCATAATTCTAAGCGACAGTTTATCAACTTCCGAGAGAACAGACAAGCTAAAAACAGCTTCGAAATGTACAGCAAGCTTTCTGGTAAAAAGTTACACAATTCAGATATATTGATATTACTTGACGCGACATCACTTTACACAAACATTCCGTTAGATCTTGTGATTAGTGGAGATTAGATTTCCAACAGATGGGAATTCATAAAAGATAAAACTAACGTTCCAAAAACGGATTTTATCGAAGCAGTAAAATTCGTACTAACATCCATCTATTTCTTTTTCAATGATGAAACAGTATACGAACAAACGTTTGGTACCCCGATAGGTTAATTGCCTTTTGTCATCGAAATTGCCGCAGAAATGGTAATGCAGGACTTGGAACAAAACATTTTAAACATCGTTTTTAACATTAGTAAGAAAACCGCTGTTCTACTACAGATACGTATGGACGACGTTTCATTAGCGGCACCGACAGACTACATACATAGATACAATTTTAAATTCTTTCAATAGAGACCACGATCGATTAAAATTTACTATAGAACACAAAAATAACCATTTTTAAGTTTCTTAGACCTAACTTTAAACATTATTGACAATATCATTTACATAGATTAATTTCACAAAAAGACATTCTCGGGGAGACTTCTCTCTTATCACTCAAAACATCCACAAAATAGAAATTATTTATATTATAATTTGGTAGACAGAGCTTTCCTTATACTTTTGCATCCTATGTTCCAGCAAAAAAATTTGGAACTTTTTTATCTCTTCTGTTAAAGAATGAATACCATCTGGATTTAATCTTTATCAAGATGAACATTAGACTAAAAAAACTAATAGACATCAAATTAAAATCCAATATGTTAAAAGAAACCGACGGACATAGTATCACAATGGAAAAAAACATGTGATAATAGAAAATTCTTGGTACTCTCGTACATTAAAAATATTTCGGAAATCGTGGCATCGATCATTAATAAGAATGAGTTCATAATAGGATACAGAGTGTACTCAATAAGATTGATATGTTCGTCAAAGCTCACAAAGATAAGAATTTGACTACGGCAAACAATAATGAAGTTTATAAAATCTTTTGTAACGACTGTGAGACATCTTATGTGGGACAAACCAAAAGGCAGCTTGGCACTAGATTCAAAGAACATAAAAGTAATATTAAGTTAGATCCTACAAAATATTTTGTCATTACAGAACACATTCTAGAATTTGGACATTCCTTTAATTGGAATAACATAAAAGTGCTCGACACAGAACATAACTATTATAAAAGGCTCATCTCTGAGATGTTGCGAAGAACAAAAGCATGGTTTAAATTCTATCAAGGACTTGGATATTATACTTATTGACAATTCTTATTTTGGGATACTTGATGAATTAAGTAAACATACATTAATATAAACAGCTTTGTACCGATCACTCTGAAAGGAAAAAAACTCAAATAACATTATACCGCGTGGGTCTCATTACCGAAGTACAGTCGTGGATAAAAGTGTCGCAACCCATTTGTCCACGACTGTACACCTCGACAAATAGACACGTATTATTCGTACTATCGTTTTTGTATCTGAAACAACTGCACCGTCGAATTATCATTGAAAATCCTTGTAAGTTACAAGACATTATATTGAAAAATAGCCTTTATTACACCGATCTCTGTACTATTAATTTGGAACCTCGAGCGTTTTTGTAATTATAACGTCTACTAGTACTCAAAATTGACACGCGAAAACAGAACGGAAGAGGTTTTAAAGGAAACATTCCAAGGCTACGTCACGAACAACAATCAAATCCAACATCTAGTTGCATAGAAAAATGTTTGTCATAACGAAACTACAGCATGCGCCGAAAGTAAGTATGCGATTTAATTCTCGTACCACAGCGGTAGTCGTACAGCGGTAGTCGAATCGACAAATACTTATAGTACCTATCCATTGTTTTAAGTTTCATATATTTTCTTTATATTCCAATTAACTTGATTGTATCAGTATTGATTTATTATGTTCGTTTTTACTTATTTATTTAAAATTTTTTATCTTCACGTGACATTTTTAACTTCAACTGAAAAGACTCCGTGTCGAAACGTCGACACGTCTTGTTTTATTATTTATACGATATTAAACTATTTATTTATTAGCATTATTTTCTTTCGTGATTTTATGTCACTTTTTACCTATGCTCGTTCCTTGGCCGATTGACTTTATACTTTTTGTTATTCAAATACGAGCTTGATATTACATTTAATTTAAAATTTCTTATTTTTCTGAAATTCTTGCAAATGCTTATTATTATCCAAATTACCCCACTATTCAAATTACCCCGCTGTAGTCTATATGTTTTGTACTTTTTTTTACGTACATCGATGAAGAATGTCAATTTTCAATCTATAACGTTTGACTTTAACACATTCGATCGAAATACACCGCTTAGTTTTTATGTGAATAGATCATACAAATTCAAAAGTTGTTTAACCGTTCTTATAGTCTCTCGCAGTTATCCTACTTGATGTATTAGTCATGTATGTATAATATGCGTCAAAACAAAATCGACACGTCCAGACGCGCGCATTCGTGCGTGCAAGCTGTTCGTGCGCGTAAAAATGCTCAGGTCTGGACCCGGGTTAATATCGTATAATTCATGTGTTCTTCTCTTCACGATTACAGCTTAACAATTTATTTAACATACAACTTATTTAACGATTCGGTTATCGTGAGCCCTTCGTAAGCTTGAACGATCAGGTATATACCGTTGTTTTTACATGAAACATCATATAAAATTATTGCAAGTTTTCTATTTCCTACAAAACTTAGGAAAAACAATAAATCAGATCGATGTAATGTCGCTACGTTACTGTAAATGCTCTTTAACAATTTTTTAACAATTTTATTAAGTAAATGCAATGTCGAATATTTTTTCATATGTTACTTAAATTTTTAACACGTAGTATGATACACATATACATATATATGCACGCGCGCGCGCGCGCGCGCGCGCGCGCGCATAAATATATATATAACCTTTAATTTTATATATATAAACTTTTCAATCCAAATAATTGTAATTACTTTGAAATTAATTGTCACATTGAAATTTATATAAGATTATTGTTGCAACAAGTAACTATATATATATATATATATCTCTATAAATTTCAATGTGACAATTAATTTCAAAGTAATTACAATTATTTGGATTGAAAAGTTTATATATATACATATATACATATATTAGGATGGACCGAAAAATTTATATATATAGTTACTTGTTGCAACACTAATCTTATATAAATTTCAATGTGACAATTAATTTCAAAGTAATTATAATTATTTGGATTGAAAAGTTTATATATTTATCAAATTCATTGAAAGTCGAAGTATTTTAAATGTTTTATTATAGTGGATTGAACGGAAAGTTCGTTCTGTTTTTTACTAACAAATGATATTAGTATAAATACAAAAAATAGAATAAACTTTCCGTTCAATCCACTATAATAAAACATTTAAAATACTTTGACTTTCAATGATTTTGATATTAGATTAAAAGTATTTAAATATTGCGAAATATTGCGTGCATTTCTGACAATGCAAACCAGGCGCGAAAAGGAGAGGAAAAGATGCAGTGATGCACATATTGCGCCAATGACGTTAACCGCTCAAAACGGTAAATGATATACAAACGTCATCATTGAATGAAGAATTGCCAATACTACGATCTACAAATTCGCAGACTCGATAGCCTCTCGTATCAAATGAGATACTGCTTCGCGCTTTATCGTCGTCTTCTCTTAAAAATCTTTTGTCGTTATTTTGATCTAAATAAATAGAAGGTAGGAAAGAAATTTTTATACAAATATATTATTATATAGTACAATGGGGTTTTTGATCGCGGCGTCTGAAAATAAACGAAAATTAAAAGTTTGATCTACGTACTCTTTATGCATTTACTTGAAAGAAGGAAAGCGTCGTCGATTCAATCGCGACATACACTGCGAATAATAATACAATTTTAATTTGACGAACAACAAATATGCGAATGAATATTGAGTTTTTTTTACATAATTAAAATCATAAAAGCGAATTATGTCTATATAATCATGTATAATTATCTAAATTTATAGATATAGAAATTTGCATCTTTTCAGGAATTCATCATATAATTTCATTACAGTATACTCGCAGCTGTTATGAGATTTAAAACGAGTTGTGCAGTCATAACGATTCGATTCAATTGTTGTGAAATTCGCTCTTTATCGAATAGCGAGCGACGAGCGGTTCTCGCATGGCGAAAGAAAACAACAATCTCGAGGCCGTGGCTCGATAGATTTAATTCATGAGTAAAACTACTCGCGCACGCGAGTGAGCCGTCAGCATGCCGAGTGTCTCGATAAACGTATTTATGTCCCTTACATACATATATGTAAGGGAGAGGGGAGGGGGGGCGGGCAATTAGTGACGAGGGGTAAATAATGTCAAGTTAAATTTTTCCTCTTTCCCGCGTCTATTTTACTACTTATACTCGTTAATAAAAAGACAATTCTCAAGCATCTAATCAGCTTCTGAAAAAGCGGTAAACATTAAAACCCAAATATAGCTAGCGAAAAAGCCTAAAATTTTGCATTCGTGAAGCAAGGTAAACTTAGAATTTTTTTGGTATTTCAAGTTATATTTTCTTAATTGTTGAATCGTTGAATGAGATCTAACCTATTCTATATCATATATTTTTGTTACATTTTTCCTCTATTTTAATATAATTCCTATGCTTGTATATTAACTTCATTTTAAAGGAAAAAGTAGTTCTCGGGGTAAATAATGGCAAATTTTTGTGTGATAAATAATGACAAGTCAGAAAACTTTTTAAATATTTGAATATGATTTTTCTAATTTATTTGGGATAATATGAGATTAGTTACAAGGCAAGTTCCAGAATTATTGTAATCTTCAATAAGAAATATTAGTCTGTTATAATGCTTGATATGCTAGATTGATGAAATTGGACATTTATCTTTAAAAGACAATATAATTTCTAAATAATTTTATGCTTTTTCTTTTGTTATCTCTCTGTAACAAAGAAATATTAGTTTAGTTTTGCAAAAAGCAGCCAAAGATTTGTTTTGTTTTTTATTTCATCTTTATTTTTTTATTTATTGCGATAAATGCATTTTTAAACATGTATAATTCTTTTATTTTATAATACATCTTCTTAAATTTTTTACTAAAATAAAAAATATATGTATTTTATATATAAATTAAAATTTATAAAAAAATATCGTTGAAAGCTAAGTGCAGGGCAAATGATATTACCACTATTATTTATCAATAAATAAAAATTTAGAGGTAGGTAGAAATTAATATAAACTACCTTATCTAATCAAAATGTCAATAAGAAGATCGAATAGGAGTTAAGGAGATTTTATTTATTGATAAGTAATAGTGATAATATCATATATATATATATATATATATATACCTATATATATATATATATATATATTACAACCGTATAAGTGTTTCACACACAATGAATAAGATAGGCCAATGCATGGTTGTACCAGGATCTTGGTGCTGCAATTATTTTATTATGTGATTCTACATACGTATCTTAGCTTCGACTAAACTGCATAAACTTATATATTATTTGAACAGCAAAGAAAATATTTTTTATTTATATAAAAATGTATTTTAATTCCTCCAAGTGGCGATTGAATGTGACATGTTTTTCGAGCTGACGGAAGTAATTACGAAAAAACGAATTAAGATATCGACTGATTCTTTTTTTCTCTTGATCCTAATACTTTAACGCATGACGTAAACTCTCACCATTTCTGGATAGCAAACTACATGAATTCACCAGACTTTTCATTCGCGCTCGATCTTTTTCTTTCATTACATTTGGTCTTTCACTTTCGACCAACTATTTTCGTGGTCAAATCTTACCTCGGGACGGACTGCCGCCGTATTGATGAGAGCTGGATAACACAATGTAACGATGAGGGTAACGACAACGAATATTCTCACGTTGTGATAACTGACTTTCGCGCGCGGATTAGACATTTCCATTTGTACGTATGGCACACGTATGGGGACGTACTCACGGAGATGCAGATCACAAATAACTTCCGAGTCTCCCCAACTTATACCACCTGCAAGATCGTGCGTAGACCTTTGTGCGTGGCCTTGCGCGCTTGTCTCTGTCGCGACGCGACGAGTCCTCGTGCACGTCGGCGTTGTGATTGCACACTGGTGAAACGCGCGCGCGTTTACACACTACGCGAGTGACGCGGAGCAACACGAAGCGGCGTAGGGCGACGCGAAACGGACTGGACCGTTTTCCTCCGAGAGCACTGCTGACAAGTTCGCGGGGATGTCGCGAAAGAATGTCACAACGAACGTGACGAGCGCGAACAGAGTGATTTGAACGACGGTGTTGAGATTCGAAAATGTTAAATGGAAAACGAAACGTCGGGAATGACCTTTTCTATAGAAATGTATCAGAATACACGAGCGCGCACGTTCTCTTTCAGTTATCGAATTATACGCGTCCGGATATTCTCGGGACTTTATACATAGACTGTCTTCTCGTATAGAGTGAAGATGCTTTCGAGTCACCAGGGATTTATATAGGCTGGGCTAGGCGCCACAAAGGTGGGGAAAAAGATTTAGGCAGAGAAACAAGGAGAGGAAGAGAGTGAGAAACAGAGACGGAGACTGCGAGACCGAGACCACCAATAACGAGAGAAAAGAAGAGAGGGGGACTACGTTTAGACGGTTATTAATAATAACAATAACAATAATAATAATAACGACAAATGCGTGTAACAAGACAACTGCGCGATCTTTCGTTGCTAATCTTAGTTGATTTATTTCTCGCGATTAATGAGATCGATAGATCTCGTGGGTGCACGTGCACGGAGCACGTGTCTCAATGGCGCGCAAAACGAGGTGTTTCTGCTTGGTACGCACGCGCGCGAATCAATGATTTTCAGTCTAGCTAGTGTTTATGTATTCTCGATTATTTCTCGATTTGAGATCGAACAGGAGATTTTTATTTCGCTCTACTTCGCTTCATTTTGTCAATTTACATATCTTTTCCAATTTTCCACACCCGCACAATAATCATCTCACTTTAAATTCCAATAACGTCTTTACCTCAATTAATGATATTAATAGAGCGTGATCACGCAGTTGTCTTGTTACAGGCATTTGTCGTTATTATTATTATTGTTATTATTAATAACCTTTTCAATTTAAATTGTTAAATTCTTCTGCCTGCTTTATCGAACTAAAGTTCCATCTTTTTCATCACATATTATTATTTAAAAATCTACAATCAAGGACATGAGAGTGACTCTCTTATCAAAAACGTATCGTTTGTTTTCCATATTAAAAATATTAAAAAATTGTTCCACATTTTCGCATGTAAATTAATTTTAATAGGGATAATTATTTCTTTCACCCTTAGAAAAATCACACATCCCACTGTACAGTAACACATTTTGCGCAAATGAATAAGTATTCGTATCGATTAACTAGAGCGAATAAAGCTCGGTCTATAATTACGTAAACGTAGTTGTAAGTAATTGTAGTTGTAAGAACTGACCAATTACAATCGAATATTCTTCTTATATTCGATTGTGATTGGTATATTCTTACAATTACAACTATGCTTACGCAATAGACCAGGCTTAAGAGAGAAAGGAAGGAGGAGAGAGAGATTAAAACATCTGCGTCATCACACAGAGCTAGAGTCGTCACGTTTCTAAAATACGCGCTTTCTTTCCTCATGTATGATGTAATACCACTTGGGAAACTGTCAGATAGCACGAAGCAAAACTTGTGAAAAACGAAAAACGTATATAGGGATCTAGAATAAACAATACAACGACGAGTTTTTTAATGTGTATTAAAATACATGTGTTATTGCTTACAATTAGCTAAACAAAATTCAAATATAAGCGGGCTGCTCTGTTTACGTATAAAGTTTGAAGTTTCATCTTAATTAGGTAGTACGCGCGTGTAATAAAGGACCACGCACTAATCTTATGGAAAAGTGGCCCCCGTCAAAATAGAAATAACTTGTGCGAAAGTATACTTTATGAGGTACTGATCAAAAGTCTCAATGGCGTCAATCTTTTACCATCGCTAGTTTTTACACTGTTAGGTTATAAAGACTGCTTGAAACCATTTTATTTTAGAAAATCATAAAAGTACGTTTCCTTGCTCTCTCTTTCTCTCTCTCACTCTGTCATATTGAAGGTGCCTATATTTGGTACATATCCCAATAAGTAGAAGTCCTTTATATTAATATTATGTAAAATAAAAATAATACGGAGGACTTCATAATTGAGACTCCAGCTAACAATAATTATATTTTTGTATTTATGTATTTATGTATAATACATGTATAATACATGTATAATATATGCACAAAAAATGTTGTTTATCGTGCTTGTTGAGCGTGCGAAAAAGTGAATCTTTTTCGCACTAGTGGCAAGCCACAATGCATTTATTACAATAAATAATATATATCGTTCGTAAGTCGTGCAAAACACTTTTTCGATTCGAGTGATGATAAATAATTCATCGATAAAGTCATGCTTTTCGCATTTATATCGAAATATACTTATAACTTCAAAGACGTCTGTATTATTTAATGCATGCCATTAATTGTAATTACATTACTCACTCTCAGCGCTACCCAAGATTAACCAACGTGAAGGAGACGAGTGTATGATCTCTTTTTTACACTTTTTACTATTTTTATACTTTTTTTTTTGTTTTTTTTTTGTACTTTTACTTTTTGTTCTTTATGTTTATAAGTATAAAATATATATGTGTATATATATATATATATATATATATATATATATACATATACATACATATGTACATATATAGTAAAAAAAATAAAAAAGAGATTAGACACTCACCACCTCCACGTTGGTTGATCTTGGGTAGCGCTGAGAGTGAGTAATGTAATTACAACAATTGCATGCATTAAATAATACAGAAGTGAGTCTATGAAGTTGTAAGTATATTTCGATATAAGTGCGAAAAGTATGACTTTATCGATAAGTGTGTTAGCATCACCCGAATTGAAAAAGATGCTTTGCACGACTTACGAATGATATTTTATTGTAACAAATGCATCGTGGCTTGCCACTATAGTGCGAAAAAGACACTTTTTGCACGCTCAACAAACACGATAAACAACATTTTTTGTGCATGTATTATACATAAATACATATACCAAAATAAAATTATTGTTGGCCGGAGTTTTAATTACGAAGTCTTCCGTATTATTTTACATATAATATAAGGGACTTCTACTTATTGGGATATGTATCAAATATAGGCACCTTCAATAGATAGAGAGAGAGAGAGAGAGAGAGAGAGAGAGAGAGAGAGAGAGAGAGAGAGAGAGAGTGAGAGTGAGAGAGAGAGCAAGGAAACGTACTTTTATGATTTTCTAAAATAAAGTGATTTCAAGCAGTTTTTATGAGCTGAAAAAACTATGAGTGTAAAAACTACAGAGAGAATTTTTTTTAAATTTACCCTGCAAATCATATTAATTGTGGGGCAATATAGTATTTGGGCAAATTTTACTGTGCACTACAATAAGATTTTACAAAATTTGCCTAAATACTATATTGTCCCACAATTAACATAATTTGCAGGATAAATTCAAAAAAAAATTCTCTCCGTGTAGCGGTGATAAAAGGTTGACGCCATTGAGACTTTTGATCAGTACCTCATAAAGTATTCTTTCGCACAGGTTATTTCTATTTTGATGGGGGCCACTTTTCCATTAGATTAATGCGTGGTCCTTTCTGTAAAAATAACTTCAAATAAGATAGATAAAATGATTTATCTTTACTGCCAGGAAATATCTCGCGGATATATATATTTTTTCTTTAATAAGCTTTTTCAATAAAAATTTGTCGAAACATGAAATACGCGTATGATCTCGTTAATTTTACATGTTATAAGTGTTAATTATTTTACTGAAGAATAATGTTTCCACAAATTGTTTCTAAATCGTATTAAAGTGTTACATTTTTTGTATTACATAATTTTGTATTTTTACATAATGTTTGTGTTACTTTCTAACATATTCATCTTGCGTTAAATTAACACAAAAATTTAAGTGTACTGTTTGGAACATGTGAGATGTGTTAAATTGAACACGAATTTTTCAACTGTGTATTCTTTTAATTTAATCAATCGACGAGGTATTTCGTATTTGTTATAGGTCACGCTCTCGGACGTCGTTCAAGTCGAGGCATTGGTTTAGATCGAGGCATTAGCGCGATCCTCAGTCACGTTGTATCGATACAGCGCCATACATACGATCGGGCATCGACACGATTGCTGTTTGCCTGCATCCCGCGGTCGTCCATGAAACGCTTTAGTCTCTCTCATCATCTGTTGGATTGATAATTTTATATCCTGCACGTATGTGTGTGAGTCACAGAGAATGTAGAGGCTTGACGGAGGCCTGTCGATCTTTCGACCAATGGCAGAACAGTTCATCGCTTACGTAGAGATCATCTTATAGGCGACGCAACCAAGGGGTAGAGGAGCCAGCTAAGAATGCATGAGCACATAAAAAGAGACAGAAAACGAGACTGTTCAGTCCATCTGTATCCTTGTTCAATCGCGCAGATGCGAGAAAAAGATAAAAAGATAGCTGTAGCCCTCGCTCAACCATTTTCTTTCTCTTTCTATCAGCTCACGTTTCCACTCAAAGGGGCCGCTATGCCTTTTCTACTCTATGTATATAATCTCTTCAGACGCAACACATCTCCGCATTGTGGGTCCACGGCATGCCATATGTTTCGGCGATCGTGCAGTAAATTGTTCGTGCACGGTGCGATGGTAACGCAGCTTGCCAACTGCGTAATGAGTATATAATGAGCAAAATAATATAAATAATATTATAATATATAAACAGGATAATATAATAGTTTTAATGAGCGCAATGAGAAAGATGCTAATTACGAGATGAACTAACTAGAGCATGTAATGATATTTCTGGTCCCTGGTAAAATCGTGGCAAAACCATAAAACTTCAGTCATCAACGAACGATTAATGACTTGGCTATACGTTTCTTATTTTTACTAAGCGATGCATATTTTATATCTCAAAAGTAGTGTTATATGGCAGATTATGGCCACTATAGTAATAGTAGCACAGTATAACCAGTAGGTCCACTTTGTGTCGGCGCCTTTGATCTCCTTTTCCGGACACGTGAGCATCCACCATGTTAAATCCAGGATCGAATTGAGAAAAGTGCCTCACAAGTAATAAAACAGATAAGTAATAATATAGATTCGATACAATAAATCAATAAATTCAATGTGTGAATCAAATAAAATGTTTTATTAGTAACAATTATTCGTAGGAGTGATCACTAAAGAAAATTTCTGA